TGTCACTTCTTCTTTTGGTTAAAGGGGACCTATCATGCAAAATGCACTTTTGTACGTCTTTTATACATGAATATGTGTCCCCCCCGGTGTGTCAGGGAACTCACCAAGTGTCAGAAAACACAACCCTCTCTCTTTTCCTCCATACCCAAATCTCTAAAAACGGGGCTGCAACGGAGCTGATTATTATTTGAATTTTTCTGACGTCAGAAAAGGGGTGCTCCGCCTACTGTATATGGGCAACTCTCCACCTATCAGGGGAATGAGAGACCGCTCGAAAGCACTGGAGACGCTGTAGTACATATGCCAGGCCTGTAAGTGGCGCTGTAGTCTGCCGCAAAAGCAGAATCAGCCGTTGCAAAAACAGGGCTGGAAAAGAGCAAATAGAGCGAAATGAGGCATGGCTAAAATGCATGATCTGTTTGGTATTTTCAAAAAAAGACTTCACAGACATGTTTTATATAGGTATGGCCCTACAATATATGTTTCAAATATAGCATGATAGGTCCACTTTAAGTTAAAGTTCTGAGTACTTCTTCTATCACTGGATTTGTCTCACTGCTACCATTAGACTCAATCAGAAGAAGCTGTTTATACAGACAGGGCGTGCCAGTTCTCTGTTTATCCCTCACAATAAATAATTGATGTTTCTTGTGGCTGTGTATTGTGTAGGAGGCATCAGTGCAGCCTCTGTGTTGGTACTTATATTCCTGTAATGTTACTTTTTCTTGGGGGAAACTTTAGTCTGCAGCAGTCGGGTTCTCCGGTTCTCTATTAACGTGATTACATTTTCATGAATGAGTTTAGCGGGTTCAGTTACCTCAGGGCAGGGGAGCGCCATTTAACGATCGCTGTATAATTTTAGGATCGGAGACGGTGAGAAAATAGGCATCATGCTGTTTACCGCTGGTTTCTCTTTCTGATGACAGAATGATACAGTACACTCACTGAGAGAGATGAGTCATGATTTACTGTGTGTCTGCGGTTCAGGGATGAGATCATTATAGGAGACCTCCTGACTGCTGAGCTCACAGGTCAAACTGCTCACTGTGTGTGTGTGTGTGTGTGTGTGTGTGTGTGTGTGTGTGTGTGTGTGTGAGAGCTA